TGCAACCTGTAATCCGCGCCAATGCCGGTGTGGGAGGTTCGCCCCACCAATTGCGGGAGCTCTGCCGGAACTCAGGAGGAGTTCTGGAGCCAGGGAACTGAAAGGTAACCATTGTTTCCCCCTTATATACCCTGTTATAGCCCATATTTGTACTTCTCTCGATGCGTTGACTGAATATGTTGCGTGCACCTTTATTTGACTTTGGTTTAGCTGACGAAACCCAATTCAGACTAAATAAATGAATGTGTGTGCAATCGCAGTTTTAGTTTGTTGATTGCCTGAACGCAGATTGTGAACACAAAGGGGGTGCATCTGGGGGAAGGGTGGGTGAAAGGTGGTTTGGCTTGAGGTTAGCAGGGTCCTATCGGGTCAGACCAGTTCCATAAGATTGGAYGGYCTGACCGCTGTGTTTAWTTTTGAATTGCATGGAAAGTCATACCAGTTCCATAAGATTGGACGGTCTGATTGCTCTGAATTGTGAGGGTTTGACTGTGGCTGACCTTTCAGGGGCCAAACCTGTACCATAAGATTGGAGGGTTTGGTTGCCATGTTTGATTGGGTTTTGTTCTGTTTTTTTTTGTTTTGGATCGAGATGGCCTGAGCAAGTCCATAAGATTGGGCGGCTCAGCCCCTTCCTGTTTCATTCTGAGAGACTAATTCTCGCTGAGGGCAAGGCATGTCCATAAGATTGGACGGCCTTRGACTCATGYCGTACACAGTGGATCAGAGAGAAACGAACCTRGCAGAGGACCAGATATGTTCCATAAGATTGGACGGTCTGGCCCAAAGCCTCGCACATGTTGGAATCCAAAAGKTTAAATTTTGACTATATTTTATATTATTTCATTTATGAACAGGCTAGCCAAGCATGGGTTCCATAAGATTGGACGCYGTGGCTATAGCTTATCATTAGTTGAAGAGAGTACAATTAAGAATATATTTGAAGGTAACTTGGGCCGCCTGAGCATTGTTATTRAGATGAATGGCTCAGTCCTACGCCCACCTTGAAGATTAAAGCTCTGAGAGGTATATATAATTTGGATATTAAACAGTTCGGGGCGGCTGAGCCTTATTCTAAGATGAGCGGCTTAGTCATATGCCCAAAAGGAAGAGAGAAGTAGTTGTGCAACGTGTTCGTGTATACTCAATGGCTGAGTCAGGCTGGTTCCTTTAGATTGGACGGCTTGACTTTATGCCCTATGTAAGCTGGGTATAAGAAAATAAAGCATTGAGAGATTACGAACTATTGTTTACAAAGTTTGACTTGGAGTGGCGAGAGTACTTATTTTTGWGGTTTGGCGTGCATGTGACTGAGGGGAGGGTACTACTTGGTGTGAGTTTCAGTTTGACAGGTAGTTGCTGTAGTTGCTCGCCTCGTGCTAGAGCGATAGGAGTTTGGTTTCAATTTCTACATTTTCTGAGCTAAGTTTATTTTACTTAAATCGATTCTCGCATTTTCTGGGATCTTTTGTTATACTTGGCTTGTATAAATTCTGGTAAGCTACTTTCCCTACGGGAAGCGCTGCTGAAATTTCTGCAAATCCAAGAAGTTAGTCTAATTTTAACTTGTCTAAAGTTTATATATGACTTAGTAAAAATCTGGAAAGTCTCTTTTTGTAAAGGGAGTGCTGCCCAAATTTTTGCTAATTCAGGGAGTTAGACAAAATTGGACTTTGAAAAGTCAAAGATTATTTTTGGTTTCATATTTGGGCGGATATAAATTCTGAAAAGACACTTTTCCTACGGGAAGCGTTGCCGAAATTTTCTTAGTTTAAAGGAGATAGATGAAATTTTGATAGGTAGCGATTCTGGCGATCCACCCTACATGGGGGAGACACTGCCAAGGTCCACCTTTGTTTTGGGCACTTCTTGAGGGTAGACTTAGGCTTAGTTAATTAGGATGATTTAAGCGAGATCGTGATCTAGGGATTATTCTCCATGAACTTATAGATTTAGCTGTGGGTATTGACCTGTCTTGTGTTACAGGTCCTCTTGACCGATTGATTCAGGACTTGGACTAGGTTCAGCTTGATCCTACAAGGATCACCTTCTGTTATCACTGATGACAGGTCGATTGTCGATTCCTCGGTTTACGATTCAACTCCAATTCACTCCTGCCACTCAACCTAAAGGCTTTAGCCTTGTGATTGAACTGTTTTGTTGTGTTTTCACCCAGACTTTATTGAATGGTCATCCAACAAAAGTACTGAGTATTTATTTAAGAGTTGCACGAGTGAGGCTTGTATGGTTAAAGCGAGGGCTATGAATGCAAGGAATGGTTGAAGTTGACCCCGTGTAGTGCGTGGACTTTTGTTGAATCTTTGATGTGATTGTAGGTATGTTTGTGGTTCGGGCTCTGCATGTGACTGTCTGTGATTACATACATATATGGTTGAGAGAAGCCCACTGTGACTGTGAGAAATTATCGTCCTATATAAGTAAGCCGCATACATATATATACATATTTATATGTGTCTTGGGTATGCGCACGACTTACTGTGATTGTGTGCAAGGGTTAACCAAATTCTGGCTTGAGAGAAAAGGGAGATCCCCTTTTATCCCTCTGCTTCTTAGAGATTTTTATGGTCGGACGTTAGTCCCGGGCCGGGATTCAAGGTCCTTGTCCAGGACATCCCAAGCCCTAGACTCTGCAGGGAAGGAATCTGCCCCCGTGCAGAGCCTATTTGCCTTGCCTACCGGGACGCTCAGACCAAAGGTCGGAGGTCTCGCAGCGGCGGCACGACTATTCCTTCAGCCGTGCAATGTCATGAGGGATTAGACCCTCGCGACACTTCAAGTCTGACACTTGAGTGTTATAAGCGGTACTCGGATCCACGAGGGACCACTTAGTTATGGGCACTACATAGTACGCCATCATTGCGACTGCTTGCGTACACTTGCATTGCGAGTCGATATGGGTTGGCCCTACGTCCGCGTGGTTTTATACTGAGTCTCGCGCACGACGCCTATCCGATTTCCGCGTCGGGAAGTTATGGGTTGGCTACCGAGGGGCTAGGAGCGTTGTCGCGTTGTTTGTGTTGTGTCGTGTTGTATGTGCGTGTGTGTGTGTGTTTTATTTTTGTGTTCGTAAAGTGGTGTGTGGGATGCGTCCCAGTCGATCGACGTCGAGCCGCGCCCTCGGGATTTCAGCCCCCCAAGATGTCGATTCGCGTGCGGGCCCGATAGGCGTATTACCGTACGTACCCCCTATGCTACAGCGAACGGAAAACGCCCTCAGCTGGTCCACCTCTGTGATTGCAACTGATTAACTTTCGTACTGTGGACTGGTAGCTCGGCGGGGATACGCCCACTGAAGGGAGGTGACAGCTCCCGTAAGGTGAAGGTAAGTTGTGCCTCGCATAGGCCCTATCCTGTCGTAGGGGCCCGCGAGAGGTATGGTTGGCGCACTCGGCCGGAGCGGCCTAAGGAAGCTCCATTTGTGTGTTCGCGAAGAGGTTGGTCCAACTCCTGCGTGACGCGGCCGAGAGGGTCCCGCGCTGCCACGTGCGGTGCCGGACCGATGCGCCCGACACGTGGCGCTGTTGCCGGGGATAACGGTCGCCTACCGTTGTCCCTGGTGGAACGACATCCGGGTACGGGAGTGTGAGAACTAGGCGAAACGAGAGGTTTTTGTTGATTCGTTATGGTTGATCGATTAAAGGCGTTGGATAGGGAGCGAGTGAGGGATTGATTATGTGAGTGGGTTCTGGTTCGGTGGCGCGATAAGGATAAGCTTTGACTATGTGCCTACGTACGTTGACTATGCCCGTACGTACTTTGACTATGCACTTGCGTACTTTGACTAGTATGACGGTAGTTGGAGTTGATACCTCTCTTGACCCCGATAGTTGATGGGTTTGGGCGATGATTGGTATGTTCGATACAACTAAGGTAGGATGAGGCGGTATCAACAAAGCTAAGTGTGGTGGTTGCGGGAGTTGGCCGTAAGGTGCCCATAATGACTAAGGGAAGTTACCCGAGCGGTCAAGGGTGCAATATAGCACTTTGGCGAGGCATAGAATGAGTAAAGGAAACCTATTAGGTTAGGAGTCGTCAAGGGACCTCGAGGAGAGTATGCTAAGGATATTGAGCGCCTGTATGAGTATGAATGGGGATCCTTGAATTTGGGTTCTAAGCAATTGCCCGAGTTGTATAACCATGGAAGTCTGAGGCCTATCCCTCCTGGTATGTTTGCAATTAGGCGTATAAGGCAGTAAAGAAATGCAGTGAGCACCGTGGTAAGGCCCCAATAGACAGGACTACGGGAAGTAGTAGACTTGCATGACACCTGTTAGAGGAGGGTATCTGATCCTAGAGGTAGTCAGAATAAGAGTGAGGGAGCTAACGCGTGGACTATTTTACTTGCCTTTAATAGGGCGTAGTTGACGTTTAGCCTCCGCATGAACCGTTCTAGGCTTGGACCATCCAACTAGGAAGCTAAAGACTTGAGACCGGTTGTTTTGAGGGTGTTGCTTTGAGTTGTATATTGAACTCATCCATGAATGTCAGTCCTTGTAAGCCCAGTTTACGCCTAATTAGGTGAAGCTATATGTTTAAGCAGATACCATTGTCAGGAGTATCTCGCATGGGTTATTTTATTGAGGCCATATTTGGGATCTTGTCAATCTGTAGAGATTTATATGAATGTCCCCAATCCGGCAGTTGGCTCATGGTTGGTCATTAAGTCGGCGGGGCTGGGTCGCTCTTCCCAGAGGAGCAGGGATTGCCATGTGAATAACGGAAGGCGCATGCTGAACGTTTGTCTGTGATGGGCAGAACCCAGACAAAGCAAAGGCAACTCAGGATGTCTTATGCACAGGAAGATCCGCGTATGCTCAGGCCAATTGAGAAAGAGGGAGAGCTCGAGGTGTCTTTGCCCAGGCGGGTCAGAGCAGGAGAGTACGTCTCGTCATGGTGGGGCATGTTGATAGGCACGGACACCTTTGTTTGGATCGAGTCTGGGTTTGATGATGAGCGGGAATGCGCAATCGTAAGGGTGACGCTATACGCCTCGCCCACATTCTAGATCGAGCATGGGATAGAGTTAGCGCTTGGGCATGGAAGCATGCTTGCTAGGCCTTTGAGGGTAGCAGAGGCAGCTGCAGCAAAGTGGGCGAGGGAAGTGTCCCGTTATGGGGAAGAGCGAGTACTAAACCGCATAAGTGTCGAGCGCGCTGGAGAGTTCGGGCTTCCATCTGCTCCGCTGCGAGTAATCCTGCCTGAATTTCTGATAGAGAAGAGTTTTGGTGGGCAGGCGAGGGTGGAGGCGGCAGCTGAAGCTGCTCTGAGGGCGCGAGATTGGGGGTATAGGCGATACACATGTGAACTGATATATGGTCTATACCTAGACCTAAGATTCCTGCCCTCTAGTCAGTGGCTAAGGAACACGGCCAATACACTGGACGTATACGCCTCGTCTCATGATTTGAATGAGAGAAATGTAGACTGGGAGGAGATTCGGGCAGTTATGGGTCGATAGGGGACTAAGTCCTTTTCTACTAAATATGTTTCTTTTGACTTGGCTGGAGTCGTCTCTCTGCCCATTATCGTAGTTATGAAGGTAAGCGTCAGGGTAACTAGGGGTTGAGGCCTCATCGTATGAGTAAAGGAGTAGATAGCAGGATTTAAGTGTTAGCAGTCTGTCCTTGTCTGCCTGAGCTTACTTAAATCACTGTCTGATGGTCTATTGCCCGCTGTGCGTATCAGGCTGTTGTCAGCATCATAGCGGGAGAAAGCGGCTTCGCCAAGATCTTGCTTTGGAGGAATTCGTGCCTTTTGAAGGTGTTGCTGCACGAAGTGTTGCAGACATCAACGCCCCCAGATCTCCGCGCCCTGCTGTTCCAAGGAAGGAACCTGTCTAACTTTCTGCGCGACTTTCATGATTTTAGCCTTACGAAGATGTGGGACGAGAAGGCGATGTGGTACATGTTCCCTGTGTCCGTTTGTGAAGGACTAAGTGAGGAGGTGTACACCCTCATGTTGAAGTCGCAAACCTGGGATGAGCTGGAAGCTTCTCTGAAGTTGAGGTTCCCAGAGGATGGGGTGGAATGCAGGCTTGGTAAGGGCCTCGAGCAGCCAACCAATGAAGTCGCAAACCTGGGATGTGAAGGACTAAGTGAGGAGGTATACACCCTCATGTTGAAGTCGCAAACCTGGGATGAGCTGGAAGCTTCTCTGAAGTTGAGGTTCCCAGAGGATGGGGTGGAATGCAGACTTGGTAAGGGCCCTGAGCAGCCAGCCGAGGCCGCGTCAACGCAAGGAGAGCTGAGTGGTATACAGAGGCAAGTTGGGATGCTGGAAGAGAGGTTGGCGAGGTTGGAAGAAGCCAGGTGTGGTGAAAGGAAGACCTTTGAAGGAGCATCCAACAGACCGGCTGGGCAGGATGAGGCGGAGGTAAGGGAAGATCATCAGGAGTTGCTCCTCCTCAAGAGAATCCTAAGGGGGCGAGTTTGCGCCCCGGGGAAAGTTGAAGATGAGGGGATCATTGAGATCGAGGAGGAGCAAGAAGCTAGTATGGCCCTACCTGTTATTGCGCCGGAGCCGAAGGGAGGGCCCATTGGCGGAGAGGCATCCTCGGCTGCGGGACGGGAGAGGCAAAGGAATGAGTGGTGGCTAGAGCACTGGGCAAAAGTGGTATGTGATGGTTAGGGAGAGAGTGGTCGCACCCCTCAAGGAGGCAAGGGAAAGGGGGTGATGGGTGAAGAAGGGAAGCCTGAACCTCCCAAGTTGACAAAGGCTCAGCGGAAGGCGAGGAATCGGGCCCAGGGGAGCCAAGGTACCGGAAAGGGGCAGGGCATGCCGCAGGGAGGGGCCACCCCGCAAAAATTGGGAGGAAAGCCAGTACAGGCAGGGCCCCCACCGACTGAGCAAGCATCATACGGGCCATGGACGCCATACGTTCAAGTGGGACCAAGACCAATATGTAATCCATATCTGCCCTGTGTATAAGGCGTTTGTTTGGGCCCACAAATGGGTATGATGCCACCCATGCCTCTTGCAGCTCAGTTTTAGCCAGCCTTGTGTATGGGGCCATTGCAGCCACCGATGCCACGAGCGACGGAAGGCCAAGTGGCCGGTGGAAGGGGTCAAAAGCGAAAGGTTGAAAGGGGTTGTAGGGATGAGGGGCACGGAAAAAGGGGACGCGGTGGCAGCAAGGGTGGCTCTGGCGGAAAGAAAATGGGTCTGGAAAAGGACATTTGCAGACATTGTGCCAAGGAGGGGCACATAATAGAGCTTTGTCGGGAACGGAGGGCCGATGAGGCAAGCGGTCTAATAAGGACTGACATTGAAGGAAATGTATTCGATAGGGCCGGAAAGTATATCGACCCAACCATCCCAGGGGGAACACGGAAGGAGTCTTTGCGGCGAGATGAAGCATTGAGCACTGCCTCATGAATGTAGTCGTGAGGAAGAAGAGTTTGTGTGAAAAGGGTCAGGAAACTTGAGCAAACTGTAAATATCACCGGAAAATCCCAGTTATATAGCCGCTGTAGATAGGCACAGCGAACAGAGGGGAGAGATTTTCGTAATAGTGGTCCGGTAAGGTAGCTCGGGTTGTAGGCAGGAGGAACCCCAATAAAATAGCTGCATATATGGGGTATGTTAGGTCTGCCTCTCACCATGTTATTAGAATGTCTCCAGTAGGAAGAGCAAGGAGTGACCATGAGGGCACTGTTGCAAAGTAGGGGTTTGTTCTATTAGGCCTAGTGATTGAGAAAAAAAGATGTGGGACCTGCATCGTGTCTAGGCCTAAATAGTTGTATAGGTGTGAGAGATAGGAGTGGTTTGGGAAGAGACCTCAGCATGGGGGGAAACAGGCTCTCTAACCGAGGAAGGTAGTTGTAAGACTTGTGTATGCATGACTTCTAGTCTTACTTTCCCCGGATTTTTGAATATGTCTCGAGTTACTTAGGTCCCTCTGACCTGAGGGGTGTGGCTGCGTCCGGATCAAAACTGTTTTAGATTTGGCTTTGGGGGCCGCATTGTCCTTGAATGATACCAGTGACGATTTGAGTTGAGATTGTTCAACTCCGAGTGTATATGTATGAAACTTGAGAACATTTGGCTCGCGCGTGAGTTGGGGTGTTGTACCCCTGTGTATATATTGAGTTGAGGCTTTATCTAAGACTATCTTTTGTATATGACGATCACAATCACTCTCACATTTGTGGTTTTATCCTAATGTATGATGATTTTGCATGAGAAACACATGAGGAACATCTCGTGAGTTGTGTGGATTTTGTGAGGATGAATAAATGTGAACTGTCTACTCTTCGGTATACTCGTGCGGCCTGCCTACAGGCAGGACAGGGCCGGGTATAAGGAGAGGGAGTGCAGTCTGTCATTGTGAAAGTGTGAAAATCCTAAGGGATTTTGTGAGTCTTTGAGGCTCGAGTACTTACCATGCCGGGTGTTTTATGGTTAAGTTGCGAAAAGGGCTCATAAGCAGGCCCCTCAATTGAGTTGGTTCGTGGTTGAGTTGTGGAGAGGGCCCATAAGTAGGCCTCTCAATTTGAGTTGTTTTATGGTTGAGGCCCCTTCAGTTTGAGGAAGGCGGCAGTGTTGTTTATCGGAAGACTCATCCTCAAAAGGGGAGGTGTTTTAAAAAGGGTCGTGTGATAGCTCATCCTAGGAAGAGAGGGATGGCTGGGAGACCTATTGAAAGAGACCTCCTTCATGTGAAAGGTGGTTAATGGATTTAAGGGCATGGTAGGCAGTGTTTGAGTTGATAAAATCTGACGAAAAGGGACCACGCTTGCTTAAGATGTTTGAGAAAGTCGCAAAAGAGTGCAGGGCGACGAACGTCTCAGGATGGATGGCTGCGCTCTGATCAAGTCAGGGGTCACGGCCTTGTGGACCTAGCGGATTTTGTTTGTGATTATGCGAAGGACGCCATGCCTTTCGTGGGAGAGCTGGTAAATGCCTTCAGACCCCTGCGTAATCTCGCAGTGGGCCCGTGATTGGTTTTGCGACGCTCCGTCTAACCACTTGTGTTAGTTCTGGGACATAGTAGGGGAATACCAAGCTAAGCGGTAAAGATTAGCACCTCTAGGGCATAACCCCAGGGGATGGCTGCTAGCCGGCGCAACCTGGCTACGGGACCACGGAGTACGAGTTTAAAGGGAGTTGCCCGCCCCAGGGAAATTACTCCGTGGGGTGGTAAAGGTTGAGAATTTTTGGGAAATCCAGATTGAATGCTTATTAGGAGAAAACCTATCATTGCGTAACCAACGAGGGTACTGCCGCTAAAATAACAATGCGGTAGGCCGTAGTCCTGGTCCGATCAGCCAGGCTATGGTGGGCCAAGATGGAGACCTAGCCTTTCTGTACTAGATTGCAGAAAGAGTTGAGTGGATACTAAGTATACAAATATGCGTATGTGTATTTGATTGTGAGAGATTCTCTGAGAAGGAAGGCGAGAGTGCCTTCAAAGGTCTCGGTTAGGGCCCCCGTGCCTAGTTTTGGCCAGGACTAGGGACACCCAACGAGAAGCCGAAGGTTCTTTAGGACGGGGGAGAGGATGATTGGGAAGGTCTTTGGAACTTAAGCTGTCAGCGTCCTAATGCCTGGGCGGTGAGGGCCCGCGTTAGAAACCTGGTAGCATATAGTTATGGAGGCATGGTTTGATGGAGGCCTCTACCCTGTGTTTGTCGGCTAATCGGATTGGTTCCTCTTTCGTCAGCATCTTGGGTAATCTGATAGCTTTTCGATTTTGCAAAGCGACGGGGACGTCACTTCATGTGGTCCGGTAAGTTGTCGGCGCGAATACCCTTACAAGGGTATCCGCCCTGGTTTTTGCAAGTGACAGAGAAATAGCTTTGCTTTAAAGTTCAAGTATACCGCGCTAGGCGCGGCTGCGTCAGTGACTTACGCTGACGGGATGGTTGACTATAATAGAGAGTGCGTGGGCGCGCAAGTTCAGGGCGCGCGTGATTTTTCCTTGTCGTTGATTATAAAGCCGGCGCGGACGCCGGTCGGTTTAACCGTGTTTTATTTTTATTTATTTTTGATTAAATAGGAATTAAGAATATTCTCTTTTGACCTAGGCGAGCGCGTGTGCGAGGACGACGGCATCGACAACGACGGTGCGACCTTGCGCGGTAAGTGGGGCGGCGTAGGATGGCGCGTGGGGGCGGCTACGACATGGTTTGGGTAGGCCGGCACGAATACTTAGCGGCCGCGGGTTTGGTTGGAGGCGGGGACGATGCCCAGGCCGTTTTTTTTGGGCCTAGGCACTGCACTGCATCACCTTATATTGGGTTTCGCGCAGGCTAACTCCAGGCTTGGGCTTAGCCCTATGGGTTACGACGTCGGACTATGGCTACGGAGGCTCAGGGATCGAGGCCGATGGGCGTCGGCACAGCAGCGGCGGAGCGTCATGGAGGAGACTGAGGGGGTTGAGGGCCCGACGGGGCTATCCCCTTTTGGTTTTGTTAGTAGGCGCGGCAAACGGACCTGAACCAGGGGACCGGTAGGGTATCAGCAGTCCTCGGCCCTTGTTTAGGATTTTTTGTATGTTTTGTTTTTTATTTTATTTTATTTTATTTTTTATTTTTCTCTATTATTATTCGCGGTCTCGTTTTAATTCGGGATGCGGTACCACGGTTGGTCGTTCAAATCTCAAAGAGCCACGGGTGGGGTATTACCACAGGTCCGTCGGGACATCCGTTAA